CTTGCCTCCAGACACCTCAATAGTTGGAGCTGGACTCCGACATGTTACTTGAATTTTATTTGTTTATTGTTGGGGAAATGAAAAATACACACTTTTAAAGTGATGCTCATTTAAGAAAATGATTTTATGTAAGCTGTTAATAATAATGTATTCTCTAAGAGCAAATAATAATGCATTCTTTTAGATCAAAATGAATTTTTTTACAAAAGAAAATCAATCTTGATTGCTTTATGTTTGTGCATAGTCTAGGAAGCAAAGAAAAGTTTTTCCTTTTTCTTAACTAGTTCTAAATTTAGGTTAATTAATCCAAAGTAGCAAAACAAGTACCCAGCTTCACGACAGAAGCTAAGCAGCTTAATTTATGCTTAAAGGATGTTTTTTAAGAATGCAAGTTGACTCCGAAGGGTGGAGTGGTTTATTTTGGATTTTCAAGTAATTTATTCTAGAATATGTGGGGACTCACGAAATCACTTCTTTAAAAACTCACAGCCTTCTGTGACCTATTTTAAAATAAACTTTTCAGAATAATGCATAACTGGTATTGACTTAATACTATACCACTAGAGTTTATAAGTGTGAGCTGCTGTTATTATAGTTATTTTGAAGATTAAATATGAGATATTTAATTCCTTTAAAAACTTGACAACACATTAGAATCTGTAGTGACAGGCATTATTGTTTAAATATTAATAGATTGGCACTTAATGCATGAGGATGTTAGTTAGCACTGTCTCTAGAGATTAAACCAAAATCAAGCCCACCACTGACTTTTGTAAATAAGATTCTACTACAGTTGAGAGACAGCCAAGGGCCAAGAAGCCTAAAGTGCTTACTCCTTGGCTACAAAAAGTGGGAAACAAATCACTCTGACTTACGTCCAAGTTTCTGATGCAAAGAGAGGTGATAATGCGATTTGAATAAAGACCAAAAATGCTCTGAGAAACCTAGACACCTGTAGTCAGTGAAGCACAAGTGGACCAAAATCTGAATGCACAGTGGGGAGCTCAAGAATAAAGAACAGGTAGCTCAGTGTCGTCGTGGCTTTTTAAGTTAACTGAATTGCCACCATCCTAGTCTATTAAACTGAACTTATTCTCAGTGCTTTGGAAAGAAAGCAACAGTGAACACACACATGACAGAAGCTGGACTGCTGCCAGGCTTTGGGTTCTCCAGATGTTTCTGTTTGGGGTTCCTCAGCCCTGACGATGGCCATGAAAGAATTCAAAGCCGTGTTTAGGCGAGGCAAAGCAAAGTTCACAGTGTACCTAGGGTGAAGCCTACAGAAATCTACGGAAGAACAACTGTGAGAGAAGGTGGGGTGCTCCTGGCTTAAAGGGGGGTACAGGAGGCTGTTCATTCTGTCCCTTTCTAAGGATTACTGTGCAGGCATGTCTGGGGCATTGGTTTTATCAGTCCCGGCAGGAGCTTCTGGTCACCACTGTGCTCCAGGGTGTAGTTTTATCGGCTCAGGCAGGTAGGGGCAGGTGTCTGCCTTCCCCTCTTGGGTGCTTCTTGCTCTCCTTGGCCCCTATGTCGGGGCAGGGTGCTGCCTTCACCCTTCTGGGCATTTCTTGGCTCTCCTCTGGCTTCATTAACTCTGGCAAGTGTTTCCAGGGGTTTTGAATATGTCGGTGGTTAATTTCTTTAGGCCTCACCCTGCTAGCTCTATCTGTTTAAAGATTCTACTGTACAATCCTTTCGGTCTGTTTTGTTTTCTTTTGTTTTAAGAAACATTAGTTATCAAAAAGAAATATGACCAAGATTTATTAAATACTCCTGGATTCTACCACTGTTCTTAACGTGTATTGACACATTCCTTATTAAATTACTTAAAATTTTGCCAGACTTTCTTGCAGTGTGGTCCAAAGTTAGCCAGCATGCATAAGGACATAAAGGAAGAGACTCATTTCCTATGTGAAAGAGTTAGCTGAAATTTACTGGAGGATTCTCTCCTGCCTCCTACTCTCATCAGAAGCCCTACGTGTTATTTCTGCAGAACTGACTTTCTCTGACCTTGTATCCACCTTGGGCTGGGCACAAAAGAAATGTCAATGTAATCTCTAATACCCAGGCCTCCCCAGTAGGTGCGATCTCCCCTCCCACAGAGACGAGCATAGCGCCAGCCACCGTCCCATTGCCTTTTCCATTCCAAGGCGTTTCTGTCCTCCGTCTTTTAACCTCTAATTCGACTGTATAATTGTTCCACTTCATCCATCTCCTCACTTCTCCACAAGCCGAGCTTCTAGCGACCCTTTGGGCTCTGAGGCAAATGTTAAACACTTTCTTCTCCCTGCTCTGGCCCTAGTCACAGACTCTGCTTTCCATGTCCTTGCCTCAGCTGGTTCTGCCCCAAACACCTGACTCCCCCACAGCCCTGTCCAGGAGGGGGAGGCTCAAGCTGCCACAGTAGGATAAAATGGGGGGAGGAAGACGCCCACCCAGGACCCCCAGCACACCGAGCTGTGCTCGACAGCTGTCCCTATTCTCTCCTCCAGCCGCAGCCATGGGCTTCTGAGGCATCTCCCTGACAACCAGCTCTGCGGAATGGCTTCTTGTCTGTGAAGTCACTCGCACATTAGTTTGACAGTTCCTTGTCACAGGCCTTGGCTCTGCCTCTGTGACTAAGCCACCTGCAACCATGCGCGACATCCTACATTTGCTCACCAGTTGCTAGAACTACTGTGCAGCTGTAAATCTGGATCCCATGCTGATGTAGCTCCCCATCACCTCAGCCACACCTGCTCTTTAACCCCATGGACTCTCTGGACTCTTCCCTCTGAAGTTGCACTTTCCTCTTGTTTTCTCTTCTTTCCATATTCAACCTTGACCACAAGGTCATCATTTCAAATCCTCCGCTAACCTTCTCCCTTTCCTCAGGTCCCTGTCTCATCTCTACCAGCATGAAAACACTCTCAAGCTGGAACATTCTTCATGTTGCCATCATGGTCTTCCTGCATGTAGAAATAAAACACCACATTGGCTGGTAGATTCTACGTGTATCGCCCCCAAATTCAGCCTATCTTCAGCACTGCACCTGAAGCATCTTGAATTAACTCTTGCATGCTCCACAATCCCCTGTCCTCTCCCTTCTCCACAAGCTTCCACTTCACTGTCCATCATCTGGCTGGACACAGAGCTTTCTTTTACTCCACAGGTGACACAGAAGCCACTGGAAGGGAGCCCTTCCACCTTGACGCCTGTGTAGAAATCCACCTGCAAGTATGAGCACTGCTTCACAGTCACCTCTCTCTTTGCTGATAACCCAGTCTGTGTGCTGCATTTGCACAAAATTTTACCCAGTTTTCAGGATTGGCTGGATATCATCTCTCCACGAGGGTGCTGACTGTCCACCACACAAAAGGCTTATCCTTGACCGACTGTATTTTGAGCCAAACTACCAGGCCCGCACACCCTACGGCCCTCACCCAGCTCTAAGCCATGGAGATTAGTCCTAGAGACTCTCAGTTACAAACAACAAATCTTCACATCACACCTGACTGCTCATGCTCTTAAAAACCACACAGATGCTTACAGCCAAGAGGTGGGATTCTCAATTTTTTTCTGGAAAGTTTATGTGTTGGTGGATTGAGTTTCTATTAAATAAAAAATTATTTTTTAATTCACTGGGAGAATTCTGGATGTCTAAGAGAATGCAACTGCATGGAAAATTGGTTTCCTATGTGAAAAATACCTTTTTAACACAAATCCCTTTTTTTTTTTTTTTTTTTTTTTTTGCCTTGTAAGCTTTTTCACATATTGAAGTCTGGCACAGATGAGTATGTACACTCTTACACGATGAATAGGTTTCTAAAAATTATGTCAATCTATTTTTCCATAAATATGTAACCATTAAATTCTGAGATATACTTTAGAACTAAGTGCTTACACTGAAAAGACAAAAACAAAAACAAAAAAAAAAACAACAACGCAGTTGCTCTGGAAATTACTAAAAATGGTTAAGAATAAATTTTAACAAATATATGCAACCAATACAGTTTTATTCCAAAGCTCCAATATAGTAAGGAGGGAGCTAGAAGATATTTATTTGTTTAGTGAATGAGCAGTTCCTGATCTGACAGCCTTTCTGGGGCATCTTTAGGTCTTTTCCTGTATATGGTACATGTACATACATACAGTGTGTATCTCTCTGTGCATGTGTTATGCGTGCATATATGTAAACACACATGCACACACGCAGGTGCACACGTGTGCACACATAAATGCAAACACATGCATGTATGTATGCAAATGCACATGTGTACGCATGTATATGTAAATGCACGTGTATAATACTTGATTGTTTATACTACTGGTCAGCGCTTGTTGACTGTGTCTTCCAATTTCCCTCCAGCTCTGCCTTGGTGGAACTGAGCTGACTTGCTTATTCACCACCTTCTGAATCTTCCCTTGCCCATAGGTGGTAGGAACAAAACTCATGTCTTCCGTGTAGAAATCCACCAGTAAGTACTAACACTGGTTTACAGTGCTAATCTCCACGGCTTAGAGCTGGGTGAGGGCCGTGGGGTGTGCACACCTGGTAGTTTGGCTCGAAATACAGTCGGTCCAGGATAAGCCCTTTGTGCAGTGGACAGCCAGCACTAAGGGCTCATGGAGAGATGATATCCAGCCCACCCTGAAAGCTGGGTAAAGTTTTGTGCAAATGCAGCACACAGACTGGGTTATCAGCAAAGAGAGGGGTGACTGTGAACCAGTGTTACATGAGAAACGGAGAGAAATGGAGAGGCAACAAGGTCGCAGAGGAAGACGGGGGCAGAAGAGTTGCCCTGGCAACACAGCAGATTTGGGGAGCCCCCTGGGGCCCACAGAGCCAGGCCATCCAGCCACACTGTGACCAAAGGAAACACTCAAGAAGCAGACAGGGAGTCAGTGTTGACAGAAGGCAGATAATTAACACATTGAAATTCATTTTCTCCTTGCTAACAGACCCTGGAGGCCCACTGCTACTTTGAAGTGTAGCCTGCACCCCAGAAAGTGCTCACCTCTGCGAGGTAGAACTCATCATACTGTCTCCGGAAGCTCTCGCCTTTGTGATAGTTGCTGGCGGCCACGATCACGTCCACGGTCACCATGCTCAGGATGAACATGTGGAAGACGGAGGACCTCATCATTTGCTGTGGAGGAAAGCAGATTAACTCAGCAGGGAGGGGACGCTTACTGCTGGGGGGGGGGTAGGCTAAGACTTCATCTGCAGCACTGTGGGACAGCTGTGTGCGAGGCTGAACTTGCAAGATAACCTGCTGAATGAAGGTCACGGCAGAGAGCCTTTTTTTGGGGGCAGCTAAATGATGGCTGGGAACTAGCTTCAGCAACACTGGGTTAAAAATAGAAAACAGACTTCACTGAACCTTTGAAGCGCTCTGATCTTAATTTCCAATGGTTAGTCAGGGAGTATTGATCCTTACTGTGACTATAAGGAGACATAGTTTTTAGAAAGCTTATATTGCAAAGCAAGTACTGATTTAGGCTCTGTAAGAGAGAAATGATTTTAGAGATGATTATAAAACTGGAAGAGTAATGATGGACATGTGAAGAGCGGGTGCATCACTGATGGCTACAATTCCATCAGCTTAGGAGGTAAGGAGACATGTCTGAAGCCTCCATCAGGGCCCTAAGTATGCCCCTCCCCTCCTGAAGCTTCCTCCTGCCTCCTTTATTAGTGCTGCTGTCATTAAACAGCCACAGCAGCAGTAGTAGCAAAACTCAGTCCTGTTGGCCAGAGGCACGGCACTTGTACAGGAGATCACCAGAACTTAGGCTGTGGAACTGAAACTTTGTCCCCTCGGCATAAACAATCCACAGGAACTTACGCTACAACTAACAACTGACATCTCTATGTAGCTGTGTGCTGGTGTGGCCTGCATGCTTTACGTACATTAGCTCATTTACTTCTTAACCCCAGGAAGTTATGATGGGGACTGGGGGCCGGGGCGGGGGCTCCACTCTGGGTACAGGAGTCTGCTCACTGAGCACGGGCTGCCTGGACACGCTGCACGCTCGTCACCTTCTTCCTTAAAGTCCACTTTGGCTTTAAGCTGAGGTTCTCACCCTGATGGTGTCGGATGGTGCTGGACACCGATGCCAGGGGCTGGTAACAAGTTCTGGGCTGAATGGGACAAATACCGGGAGCCTCAACAGGGCTGTTTGCTGACGGTCTCATCTACTCCTTGCGGAAAGGGCAGCTCAAGGTGGGAGGGCAAAATGGCCCTGGCAGGGCCGCACCCCCCGTTCTCCCAGATCACTGACTAGTGAGTTGAAGAATAAAAGCGCTTGTAGGTTCAAAGCCTGCCTCTGCTCGTTGATTTCTGGTAGCGAAAGGCAGCAGGACTGGGTCTGTTGCAGGACAGTGACCTTAACTTTGTAGAGAAGGAAACTGAAGCATGGACATTAAATGATTTTCCCACTGTCAGGCAAAGACTGGGAGTAGAATCACAATCATGCTGGGACCCAAGTCGACTGTTTCCCTGAGGCAAGAAACTCAGACAGTCCAAAGTAATGAATCATTATAGTGGCTGCCATGGAGTGAACACTTACTGTGTCTCAGGACACATCACTAGTATTTTATTTATTTTATGACTTCCCACCTCAACCCTCGTCTTTCACAGTGGGACATCATGCCCATTTTCCCCGTGAGTTCAGAGACTGAGTCATTTGCCTGAGGTCACACAGCACGTACAGAGCAGAGTCCGGCTTTGCACCCAAGTCTGTTCAGAGGCCATGCTGGGACTCACTGTGGGAAAGAGGGCGCGTCAGTGGAGAGCAGGGGCTGAAGGTCCCGGGCAGCAGTGGGGGGCAGAAGCTAATCTATGGAAGGAGCTGAGCACATGAAAACAAGCCACGTGGCTGCACCCCTGCCAAGGGTGCACCTCACACGGCCCCTTCCTGAGGCCCCTTCTTTCTCAGTGGACATGTATCATGACCACTGACCGACCTGAGAATTCTTCAGTCTGCAAATACAAGAACCTTAGTAAAGCAGACCTGAGGATGGGAAAAGAGAGAGAACTGCCTCCGGGCACCCACCTGTGAGACTTCACCTGCAGACTTCAGCACCTGCAGGCAACGCCTGGGATCTGAACCAGAACGGCAGAGCTGAAGCCTCAACTCCCAGGAGCTCTGTGGCCACAGCGCCTGTCTTCTACGGCCCTGAGCCTCGGTTTTCTCATAGCCAACGTGGAGAGAACAGAAGCTTCTCCAGAGGTTGGTATCAAGTTTAGGAGTCTCTTATCTGTAAAGTGTTTCACACAATACTTGCCTGTTGCCCTACAAAGATGGCAGTAAACATAAATGCAGCCCTGAAAATCAGCTCCTTTGTTGTAGAGGAATGAGAAATTAATTGCCCAAGGTCAAAGAATTAATTATTCTGCATACTTGACTGAGTCCACCACCAAGAGAGAGAAGTAAAAACGATAAGGGTCTAATAATTGGGGAGCTGTCAGAGACAGGGGGAAAGCAGATGTTTAGGAAGTTTTGGTGTCACCATGGCAACTGGCACCTTCTTAGATCCCTTCGCCTTGGACTTCATTTCACAGGTAATATAAAATCAAATTCCAGAACTGCCAATCACCACATGCAAATGGCCATCACTGCACGCTAGGGAACTACTGACCTTCAGAACAGAGACTAGCACATCAGTTGGCAAGTTTCTATTCTCATCGGAATTTTTATTGTTATTTAGTCTTCTTGCTTGGGGAGAGTCAAATTCCATAACCATTATTCCTTTTCTATACTCTTTTCAACAAAATGTTCTATTAAAAACATTTCAACTGATTTCCACTTTATCTGCATGACAGAAAAGCCACAACTTTCTCTTTTTATTTTCCTTAGCTGTGAATTTATGTCTTAAGTAAACTGTTATTACTGAAAGGTCCAAACAAAGCTTTTAGCCACGGCTGTCAAAAACTTTTAAATTGGTTCTGTAACTGTCACAGCTTCACTTTGGTGCTGTCACTGTAATTAGGCTGTTTTTTGTCTGAATGTCTACGTGTCCCTGTTGGTAGAGAGTCATTAAAATAATCACTTACAATGGAGTTTGATACACTATAATCACCACTGCTTAGCTGACTTTCTCCAAAGTAATAACTTTCATATATTAAATAAGAATTAGGGTGATAAGTATGTGCAGTAGCTAAATTTAAATATTTAAGTCAGTAACTTCAGTTTGAAAGTTAGAGCGACCAACACGGGCCATTTCCACTCAATTTAATTGAGCCAATGTTTGAAACTGCCTAAGGTCACCTGAAAGGAGATGGGCTGGCGACGTTATATTTAGGCTCCTAACCCGCGGACACTTCAAATTTACCCTTCATTTTTTTCTTATAAAAATTAATGTAAAGGAAAATGTCAGTGCCTCAAAACAACATATAAATTGAGATTTTCACAATTGTGTTATTTAATGAGAGTATAGAATATATAGAGATAAATGTAAATATACAGGTAGATAAAAACACACATCTGTAGTATGTATCGATGTTATGACAATAGTTGCTTTACCTTTGTTGCTAAGCCTGTAATTCATATTCTTGAGAGTAGTTTTGTCACAAAACAATTATAGGTAATGCTCGATTTATACACTATAATGCATTTATCTAGGAAATAGATAAACTTGAGAGACTTAGATCTGGTAACAGTTATGTGTACCTACCCTGATACAGATATATATTTGTGCATACATCTAAAACTTTAATGTAAGCTCTTTAGATCACACTTACAAATTCAATTATTTAATGTCAATTGCCATGTCATTCTGGTTTATATTTTAAAAAATGAGACAAATTGGCCCTCCCTGGTGGCGCAGTGGGTCAGGACGCAGCACTGCAAGCTAGCTGCAGCTGTTTCAGTGTGAGTTCAATCCTATGCCCCAGAGGTGATCCACATGGCACAGCAGACCTCTCCTGTCTCACTCACTGCTCCCCTCAGCAATGTACTTTGTCCATTGGCCTGTTCTGCTCCCCACTCTGTTTCTGGTGAGGAAAACCTCTCACTACCCCTGTGCCTCTGGACTGTACCCCAGTCTTAAAAAAAAAAAAGACAGATTATTATGCTGTACGAACTAAAGTATCTTTAAGTTGGCTTTATCTGAGCTGGAATTACCAAAATACAAAGAAAAGACTATGACAGAATCATCCGGTGGTGGTAATGCGGCTGAGGACTGCTCAGGAGCCTGGCTACTCAGAGTGCGGGCCTGGGCCAGCAGCCTCCTGTAACGTACTGGAGAAGAGGGCTCTCAGAGCCCACGCCAGACATTTAGACTCAGTATCTGCATCCTCAACAAGACCCTTGATGATTCGTGTCCACACTAAAGCTCGACAGGCTCTATCACAGGGGATATAACCTTACTAGCACGTTTAACGGGGCGATCTGTACAACTGCTTAAAATTTCACAGCTGTGTGAGTTTAAACATCTATACTCACTAAAATTCAAGATGCCACACACTGGCAGGAATATTATGGCACCCCCTGGAGATACACTCTCACTGCCCTCCCGAGCCTTGCCTCCCACTCGAAGATCAAAACTCATCTACACAAGTGTGGGTTTATGAAGATGAAATTGAAACTCCATGTTAAGTTTTCAACCATTTGAAGCTGTCATGAAGGCAACTTTGCTCCTTTTCATAAAGTGTAGGAATACAGGTGAGCTCTAATGAGTTGTTTATGAAAAGTCAAGAAGGTATAAAATGAGAAATCAAGGGGGAAAGATGATGCTCTCTTGAGAAGAGTCATGAAAACTTAGATTTTCAAAAACATCTTAAACTACCTTACTTTTAGTGGTCTAAATGTTTAGGTAATTCATAGGAGCTATAGCTACTAAATTTGTTCAGTGATTTCTTTTTCCCTATAAAATGAGTCCTTAAGGATTCCAGAGACATAGGCAAACATCAAACAAATCACAATAGAGAGGACTTGGAGACCAACAGATAAATTAGGATAATGAACAGTACAGCTCAGAAAGCAAAATTTTCTTTTAGTTGCTGCATGTATAAAGCATCTCACCTGATAAACAAATTTCATGCACTGAACACTGTATTGGCCATGTACAAGAGTTTCCTTGTTATTAGATTTCAAAACAAACATTCGGAGAACAATGTGATTACAAGATGAAATTCTCAGAAACTATCTTGTCTACAAGCCATGAGTAAAAGAATGGGAACATAATGTAAAAGACCAAGTGCATAAGGTAAGGCCTAAAATAAATCCTTTGCAAATGGAGCATTTTTCATTTGTCTTATTAGAAGACATCGAGACATTTGTTACTTCCAGATGTAGTACACAAAGCTGTCCAACCCAAGCAATTTGTGATGAAAAGGACACAGATCTACATCACAACTAAGAATAGTACCAAAAGTTGTCCTTAGAAACACCTGCCATGTCCTTGGGGATCGGGGAAACCCACACAGGATCCCACAAAGGCACTGAGATCAGTGGAACCATGAAACCCTGCTTCGGTCACATTCTGACTGGTTTGCTTGCTTTCTTGGAACAGTAATATGGGTGAGAGAATTGCAGACATCTGGAAGTCAAGCTGTAGGCTGACAGAAGAGCATTTGGAAAGACACATTCATCTCTTGGCGAGGGTGAGTTCCTCGCTTACTCTTGTCTGGAAAAGTAAGACTGGATGTTAAATCGATAGCCACATTTTTACTATTGTTATTAATATTTTTCAATATCACACTTTACACACAAACTAGATTTTAACAGGGGAAATATAGGTCTTGTGGACAGAAAGTCTCTCAGCGGATTGATTATTCTATTAAGCCAGTGACTTTTAAAAGTCTTCTGGCCTTTAAGATATAATTTCCTTTCATGAGGCTCAACAATCAGATGCATTTAATTTATGGTCTAACTGATTAATTAATTAAACTTGCACTAATAATTTATTATAGTGCATCTGTCTTCTGGTGTTTATTCTGAATACAATTATTACTTGAAACATATCTATGAGATAGAGCATATATATATATATATATATATATATATATACACACACACACACACATACATATGATATATCTCATATAGATGTGTTGCAATAATATATATATAGAATACTTGTATTTCAAGTAATAATATACATATACATGTTTTTCAAGTAATTATACATACATACATATATATACATATACATATATATGTATATATTACATGTATTTGGTAGATATGTGTAAAACGTAGGACTGAGACTGTGCTCAGTTCACTCTCTGGAGTGGAGTTGGCCACAACTGGTTTCAAGATGATTCTAGGTCTTTTTTCAGCGAACCATTTAGCTACTGTTCTGTAGGAGGCTGATGGGCTGCTTCCATAAAGAAGCTGAGCCCCTGCTTGCCAGCTCTCATGCTCCCATTTTCTGGTCAGGACCTTCCTGGCACCAGCACACCATGGGCGTGCTCTGGAGGTGGCTGAGAACAGGCCAGCACACCTGCAAGTTGTCAAGAGCGAAAGCCCCTACCTGAGAGGCAGGAGAAAAGTGGTCTGTTCTGGAGGTGGCAGAGGAATGAGGCTCGCACTTAGTAGAATTCCTTGCATCATGCAGTAGGGTGGTCTCCCCTGAGGCTGATGCAAGTGCCCGAAAAGCATTTGGAGAGCTAGCTAAGGGACTCATGATCCTAACAGTCAATTGTGGCTTTTCACTTCTCTGAGGCTCACACTTGAGGACACCCTGAAGAACCTCCCAAATGGTGCGGTGACCACGTAAAAGAGCGACCTCATGCCTGGTGGCAGAGGGATCGGGTCTGCCTCCAGATGACCAGCACTGACACTTAGAAGTGGCTGCTCTCCTGCTTTAATGTCTTCTCAGTAAGGCAGAAGTGATCTGCCCTTTAGACCTGCACAGAATTTTTGAAAGTCATTTGGAAACATCATCAACTGATAAATGGGCAAAATATATGAATGAGTGATGGACAGAATATATGAGTCAACTATAAGTATATGAAAAATTCTCAATATCTGGAGACTGGATCAGAGAGAACCAAATTTAATATTCGGAGAGGTCATCTGCAGTCGCCAGGTGTGACAACATGAAGTGCAGACAAAGACGAGAAACAACGAGAACTCTCACCACGTCACCTGTCCTTGGCTCAGCAGCGGCTCTGCTGATGACAGGTGGCCAATCTCTTTGTAATTCTCGCACAAAGTCAAGGTCGAGAAAGTGAGAGCAAAACAACAAAAAACAAACTCAATATCCAGCAATACGTGAAGAAATGAGCGAGTGAACTGTGGCCCATTTTTATAGTAAGAGAACAGACAGAGATGAAAATGAAGGTGGGCTAGCCCAGCCTCTGAGAAACACAGCACGGCGTTACCCCAAAGTATCGAGGTGCAGCCATCATCTGATTCAACAACTCCTCTCCCAGCGACCTCCCTGAAGAATGCGAACTCACTAATGAGAAGGGGGATCCGCGTGCCTCTGCCCACTGCACGTGTCGTCACAACAGCTGAGTCATGAGACAGCCTAAGTGCCCAACAGTGGGTGAGTGGATCAGAAGATGGGACGTGGATGCACAATGGTATGTTCCTCGGCCACAAAAAAGATGAAATCTTGTCATTTGTGACAACATGGATGGAGCTGGAGGGGATGTTGGCAAGCAAAATAAGTCAGGGAGAGAAAGGCAAGTACCAGATGATTTCTCTTGTGTGGTAAATACAGAAACAAAGCAAAGGAACAAACACAACAAGCAAACAGAGAGCTTCGGATTGATGCTGGCAGAGCGGAAGATGGGGGTGGTGAGAACCGGGGACAGGCCCGGTGGGCTGTGGTGCAGGATTCCGGGGGCGTTGGTGGGTGTGTTATCACAGTATGACAAACACATGTGAAGAGATGTGAGCATTATCTCACACAGTTGAAATCCACTGTTACAGCCATCAACATGATAAAAATAATAAAGAAGATTAAAAGATGAGCAAAAGATGGCTTGAGATGAAATTCAACGTTAATAACTGGCTTCGTGCCTCCCGGAGCCTCAGCGCCTGCGCTCACAGAGGATCACAAACATCGACCTCCGTGGCTCTGTGCGAGCGAAACTCTTAGGCCCTCTAAACACGGCACGTCTGGCCTAGTGAGTGGCCAATCAACGCTGGCAATCAGTGTTGACAGCAGCGGCGCAGGTATTCTTCGCACTGGCTTCTACGTTATTTCATGCCACGTTTTAATGCAAGGAAGTGATTGAGCATTATACTGTCTGGCTGGCTGTAACTGGGGAGGCAGGGGTGAGGGGTCAGGGCAGGAGGCGTGTGCTAGAGGCAGGGGTGACTCAAAGAGCAGGGTCCCCAGCTCTCTTGATCACTTCCAGCCATTTGTTTCATGCCGTGGACCGGAGGCAGGAAGGGTGGGCCCCAGACCGCCAGCACCTTGGCCCAGGGAAGGGAAGCAAGAAGCCAACGCCATGCCAGGTAGGATGGGGGTGGGAGGAGAGCTTCAGGGTGCCAGGCCATTTGCTTATTGTCTGTCCTTCAGGAGTGAATGTGTTAGGATTCACCTTGGTTAAATTCCTTATAAATGTGATAGGGCTTCCATAACAACTGGATAAGTGAGACAAATGTCCTAACAATATAAACCTCCTTCAAAGAAAAAACAAAACATGGCAACAGGTGGCATCGGGGAGCCCAGCTTACACGAGGTGCCAGGGCAGGTACACATCGGCTTCTCTGACTAGACCATACAGCCTCACCCTACACGCCATGTGCATGTTGTGTCAGGTGTGTGAGTAACCTAGAGCTAACCGACAGCATGACCGTCATCATGAGGGGTCCTTGATGTCACCCATCATCAGAAAAATGCGGCCCTGAAGCCCCACGAGATGCCATCACACACCCGTCAGTGACCCCCAACCCCCAGAACGATCAAAAACAAGTAGCGCCAGAGAGGGTGCTGAGAGGGAAGCCTGCACCCGCCGGTGGGGAGGTGACCAGTGCAGACCCCGTGGAAACAGAAGGGAGGTGTCTCCAAATGACAAAAGTCGATGTTCCAGGTGATTCAGCAATTCCTCTCTCGGGTGCCTACCGGAGCTTTCAACAAAACCAAGGAATGGACAAAACTCAACCAAAACGAACCCTAGACTGGGACTACAAAGTTGAGGCCACTGGAAGGGGAGGGTACAGGTGGGCAGAAAGTGGGGAGGGGCCAGCGGATGGTGGCTGGGGACTAGGGTGCCTTGGTGGTGGGCGGTGTGCAGTGACGCCATCTGACGAGGGGCGAGCCTGTACCTCTAAATCATACATGATGTAAAGTAACGTTACCTCGGGAAAAAAAGGTAATGGTTAAGAAACAAACAAACAAAAAGTTATTACAAACTTTAATGGTTCCAAAACACCCAGCCTGGGCTAGGTGAGTCTGAACGCGGGGTACTGCACCTGGAGGCAGGCGGGAGCACGTCCCTGGGGCTTGTTGACATCCACGGCCACCAGCTGCCACCCTCCAGAAGCGTCCTCGTGAAACATCTTCAAGACAAAGAGGGAGATGAGTCAGAGACACTCAGTAGGGAACATGACGAGCTCTGCAACTTCAGCATTCTGTATTTTTTATCAAAAATCTGTCTTCTTGTAGATTTAAGTCTAGAACCAGAGTCATTCCAACTATGTGCATTGTAGGGTAAGTGAATAACAATAACATCATCAGTGAAGAATACCAAGAAGAATGATGGAGGAGCTAGTGTTTACTGAACACTTACTATGTCCCTGGCCCTGTCTGCCTCACAATGCTTTGCCTGTAATCACCCAAAGAGATTCTTCTCTGCAAGACTTTACAAGAGACATCTTATCCCTCTGTGATAGATTATTATGAGTTAGACTTGGGAGGAAATGAACATTTGAATTACAAAGCATCGTCTGCTGTGTTTTTAGTGGAAGTGGAGAATTTTGATCTTTGTTCATAGGACATGTGTCATAGAGCCAACAGGGAACCATCCTTAGGCTAGACAAGGTGTGTAGAAGCATGGGAAAAAGGTTGATGTTATTTTTTTTTAATGGTAGCAGGCTGATACATCAGTCAAAAGACCTCATAAAATGACCTTAAATGGGCCACGATTAATCTGCTCAGCAGCAGATTACAAAAGGAAAACTGTAGTCTTCTGGCTTAAGAGACAGACATGATGAAATCAGGTAGCACAGAGGACTAAAATCTGACATTTTAGAACTGGACACAGAGGTCGCTGGATGCCTGAGGTATTATCACTCGGTGGATTTATCCCCTCTACCATGACTCATCTGCCAACAGGACACCCAGCTGGAAGATTTTCCCCGCTGATAGTTTTCCATTAAATACATTTTCCTTTTAACTCATTAGGTCTGTTGGAGGGGGCTGGGGGGCTGGATGGAATTCAGGATATTTATGTTCTGGGGAAAGACATTAATTGCAGATTCATTGTGTTATTCCTGCCCAAGACTGACAGTTGCTACCTGGACTCACAGCTTCTGCTCATTCTGACCCTGTATTTGGAGGGCCGCTGCTGACGCAGTATGGGGTGAGGCCAAGATCCCATTACCCAGGATTTACAATCATGCCATGCTTTCCAGCTGCGGGCCCCAGAGGCGACAGATCACTCACTGAAGGAAAACTGGCCCTCTAGAGATTGAGTTGTTGAGAGATGGAATTCACGGGCCGTATTTTTACATCTTTAAAATGAAGGAAGGTGCACATTGACACGTCTTTGATCAGCAATGCCGATCGTGAATTGTTTTTCCACTTACAGGATCCTGGGTCCTTTTAGACTGAACTGTAAAAGGTATTATTAGCGGTGGAAGGAAGCGCGTCTTGGTGAATAGGATCACTCTAAGAATGGGTGAGTTGGTTCAAATGAAAAGCTGTTCAATCGCCTTTTAAAGTCCCTGTCACAACTCTGGGAGTCTTCTTTGAAGGAGAAGAGACAAAGCGCCTTCCACCAGCTGGAGACCTCTGTCCCAGCCCTCACCCTCTTATCAGGGCACAAAGCATCCCTGGGGCCCCTGTCAGCTTTCATCAGTAGCAGACTCATTTCCTCTGTTCAATTATTTTTTTTTCCAGTAGACCAAAATCAAATGAATCAATTTAATTGTAAGTAAAAGTGTTCCCGAAAGGTCACTTGGAAGGAAATAAAGTGGAGGAAACACAAAGATGTTCAGTTTTTCTTTGGTCTCCTGAGTCATGAAACAACATTTAGGTCGATGACTGCAATGGCTACGTGAGGCCGACGCACATGCAGTCCAAGCCAGGGCCCTCGGGGACACCGGACCAGGGAGGGGGGCGCAGGAGCTGCCGCTGAGCCTCAGTGTCTGTTCTCTCCAAGTAACAAACTTTTGGGGGGGCAATGAGGCCACCAAGAAAAAAAGAGAAAAGAAAGTCAAATTCTTGTCCTTTTTCAAAGCTTATCTTGCCCATGTAGCTCCATACTGGCTTATGAATAAAAGTAGAAACTGTCCCTCTCTACGTTGGCCCTTCTGCTGTCTGGAATGCAGAGGTGAGGGCCAGAAGGCAGCCGCCACTCAGTCCACGCAGCGCTGAGGCTGGAGGCTGCGCGAGGTGGAGCAGACAGGTGGCGGGGCCTGAACTTGGGGCCGCAGACCGCCACGCACCTGAGGCCTTCTCCAACTTCGTGGGGATAAAGGAATTCGATTTTACACAGGCTGCTTACTTTGGACTTTGCCCCTTGCACACAAGTAACTTCAGTTTGAGCACTCAAAGATGCCTTTCACTTAAAGGTGGGACTATTCTCCTGGCATTGTGGTTTCCATTACAGACTTACGGCACAGGAGTGAGCAGGCATAAAGTCCCAGCCATCAGAGGTAATCGCCACTCGTATTTTAGACTTAACTCCTAGGTGTCTTATGCACCCACATAAAAAAACATGAGCCTTTTTCCCACATTAATACATCACTTGCATATTTTTAGGCCAGGCGTTGTTTACTCATGGTTTGATGGCTTGCATTGATTCCACCCTTGGAATTGGAACCAACGCCTCCCTGCTAAGAGTTGTTCCTGCACTCCACCTTCTTTTTACAAAAATTCCTCCATACTCACTGGCTCATCTTTGAGCATTATCCAGATTTCCTCAGCCTAAATTCAAGGGAACTGGAATCGCTTGGTTTGAAGGTTCATGTGGGCTAAGGCCTTTCCCACAGACCACAAACCGATTTCCACTCCTCACGGCTGAGTGGGAGCGTGGCTCTCTGACGCCTCCTACGAGGACAGACGCTAACACACAGAGGCCACAGGGCAGCAGGGCCTGTCACGGCCAGAGTAGGGGAGATCAGCCACTCTTGGAGCCGAATAAAAGGCTCTTGATGCTGAGCAACTGGGCTTGAGACCCAATTCTACATCAGGTAGTTACCTTACCATCAGGTGAAGCCAATTGTCCAGTCTTTGTTGATTTTTAATCTACAATGTTGAGGCAGCACTACTCCCCATCTCACAACTGTATCATGACGCTGTGAGAAGCCTGCTTGGAGAACCCCACACATCCTGCTGAGTGCAACTCTTGCTACCGGCCAGCACTGTAATAAGATGTGGTGAATTAATGAACTATGGCCGGCAGCAAGTAACATGTTCCCATGAATGCGCGCCTCTTGGTATCATCACGGGGAGCCCAGGGGAGGGTTCCGTCTGCGGAACGATCTCCGGCTTTTCCGTTTGCAACTGCTAAAGTGTTCTAAAGTGTGGCTTGATTTACAAGGTAGCTGAGTGTCTTGGGGATTGTACTGTAGGAAAAATATCACCACTACCACCAATAACAACACTCTCAGATTGTTTTCTGGGAGGTGGTAGAGAAAGAACCTTAATTACAGGGTAAACATTTGCAGCTGAATTGAAATTCCAAACCTAAGACACACACGTTAATGCAGAGCAAAATCCAGAAAGGACTTTGAAATTCTTAATCTCTTTGGGTTCTTGCAGACTCAATTATTTAAAAATTAGGCAAAGGTCATAACAATATAACATGATGAGAGTGGACATGAATTAGTTATTAAGTGAGTTGTTCAATGGTCCAGCTTCACAAAATGAAATTCTCATTTATGGCCTCCTCTGATGAATATGTTACTCTATGACAGTTTCTCACTAGAAGGAACTCATCCCTGTACTTCACGAGAATAGCCCTTCCCAGAAACTTAGCATTAAATTGCTTTCTCCCATATTTTAATGATGTATATTCATGTGAAATGGTCTTGGAATGCAGTGGGCACTTTTTCAAACAAGATTTATTTGTCTATGTGTAAAGAACTGGGGTACAGGCTAGAGGTGTGGGGGTGAGAGGATTCACCAGAGACAGAGTGGGGAGCAGAACAGGCCGATTGACTGCCACTGCTGAGGGGAGCAGCAGGTGGGTCAGGAGAGGTCTGCTGCACCCTGTGGGTCGCCTCCCTGGCTGGGGATCGAACTCGTGGTGCAGTGGCTGTGGGCAGCTTCATAGAGCTGCACTTTAACCTGTTGCGCCATCAGCGAGAGCCCAGTGGACACACTTTGACTAAAGTATTGCCTTTGAGCAGAAAATTGGACATAGTCTTTTTCTTTTAGAGGAAAAATTTTCTTTTTAATGGTGTGTGCTTCTCATGCACACATTTCTGCTGTTCAACCTGATGTCACACATGTACTCAAAGGCCCCACAGGAATGGGAGCAGTCCGGATTCTAGAGATGCTAATGGAACCGCACAGGAGGAGACTCTCCTAAGTGCCGCTTATATCGCCTCTGTCCTTGTGAGCCTGTATCTTAATTAGGGGTTTAAATGCAAAAACCACAAGCCAGAAAGGCAACAGACCAGAGATGACTGCCTCTTCCCCAGTCAGGATATTTTTCTACACCCCTTTGCTATTATGACCCAACCGGACCACGATCCCACAGAAGAGATGCTTGTGTTCCCATGGTGGCCTGCCTGGTGTCCCTTGTCCCTGGAATGCTAAGGAAAGAGACAGGCATCCCTGCAGGGCCCCAGAGATGCAAAGCCCAGGACATTTTTCTACTCACACATCTGCATATCCCAATATCCAGTTTGGGGGAAATAACCTCCCCCCCCAAACTTGTGATGCAGTGGCCCTATTGTGAGCTGCCAAGGGGCCATCACGTCATGGGCAGGTGTGTGCCCTGTGGGGGCAGCCGCCATGGGGCAAACCCTGCACAGGTAGAGAGTGACCGTCCCATCAGCACCCGGGCAGAACAGGGCTCCCAACGGGGACGCTTCCACGTGACGTCCTTTAGTTTTCCTGCTTCTCAGTGTACTCTGGTGTCCACCAGGCCTTGGGTGGTGAGTTCTCTTTAATTTGTACCATGTGGGGACTTAGGGCAGTGGCTGTGTTATCTGGAAGAAACTGTTCTCATCACTGATTCCCTTTGGCCGCCGACAAGGCAAGACCAGTCACACTGTGAGTCGCCAAAGAAGATCCCGTCCCTGGCCCATCAGCCTGCAGCCTTTGACCACACACAGCCTGTGGCAGACCCCAGACCTGGCCCTTCTGGGAGGAGTCAGCTGACAGAAGACTGCTAAGGCGGCCCTAGGGGGCGCCCGAGCTGTTCCCATTCTCAGACCTGCTGCAGCCGGCCATCACCCTTTCAGTTTCTTTCCTGAAAGTCTATTTGTTTTTCTAGCATTAGACGCTTGTGACTTGGTGTTTTACACCATCTAAAGAGAGGTCCTTGCTCCCAGATTGGACAAATGTCACCCACATCTCTTCCTGAACCCCGCAGGGCAGCATCTGGGCCACCTGGCTGGAAGCGGGGCGGGCGGGCCCTGGCACCGTTGCCTGGCAGCCGAGACTGCTATTCACTGGGCTGCTGCAGGAGCTCCGGTTGCCTAGCAACAGGGCGCTCCGCCTGTGCATTTTCCTTAATGAAGGTTTTTCACAATTGTGTGTGATTACCTCTGCAGAAGACCTACGCGCATGACCTAGGAATCACCAACTTATTCCTCCCCATCAGTCCAATCTGACATCTGAACAGTCTTCTACAGCTCTGTCTTCGTCTGCTCACATTTCACCTACTATTTTAACTGCTGGCTGCTTTGGGGGTGTTGCACAGGCGACTTCTCCAGTTGTGATTTTATAAGTAAGGGTTACTTATTGAGCAGAAGATGACTTTAAGGCATTAGGGCCACCTCAGATCATGCAAAGAACCTTCTGTGCTGAGCTCCTAGGTCCCCCTCCCCAGATCAAGCTCAGGGTTAGTCACAGAAATCAGCCCTGCAGGGTGACGGCATTTAGGGAACCAGTCGGGGAGGCCTGGCTGTCGGTGACTGCTCCAGGGTCACCAAAAGAGATGACAGGAAACAAGAGCCAGATATGGCTGGGTTTTGCAGGCCACCTGCAGGCTGCCTGCAGCAGTACTAGAGGGCTCTGGCAATGTCTCGGAAGCGTGAGTGGCTGATGGCTATAACGGACCGATGTTAATATCATTTCATCCACAGCACAGTGCCTAGATAATCTGAACTCTCAGATGATACATGAAGGGCCCTCCCAGGGGTTAAGCACAGCACCGTGAAGCTCTCACAGCCACTGCGGCCCAAGTCTGATCCCCACCAAGGGGCTGACCCCCATGCTCTGCTCCTGTTACAGGGAAGCCCAGAGTGGACTTAGGCTGCCTGTCTGTGGGGCCTCACCCGCACGCTCAAAATGTAATTTTCTGCAGGCACACACAGAAAGGATAATGGGCTTATTTACAAAAAGGGGAAAGGAAAAGGAAATAACCCAGGGAAAGAGAGAGAGCTACAAAGTAGCTGGAATTCTTTACCAGAGCAGCTAACTTGGAACTCTAGTCCCAAACTAACCCTCCTAGCCTCAGTCACATGGGCTGAGAGCAGTTGCCCCAGAGCGAGAGAGCGAGAGAGCGAGAGAGAGAGAGAGAGAGAGAGAGAGAGAGAGAGAGAGAGAGAGAGAGAGAGAGAGAGAGAGAGAGAGAGGACCGTTACCTCTCCAGATTATCAGTTAGAAAATCGCTCTCTATTTATCCCCCAAAGCCCCAGAATGCCTGCTTAGCTCCGCCCCTGGGTCCTCGCAGCTCTCTCAGTGCTGCTGGGAGTTGTAGTTCTGCAATCACTGGAGCAAGGGGTGGCATCCAGAAAGCTGGAGTAGGGGGTGGAGTTCACAAGACTGCAGGGTTCCTTTAGGACACCCTCCCCTTAACACGTCTCTGATAAATCCTCTCACACCGGCACCGTGACCTGTGCCCCAGTTCTTGTGTGCATAAATAAATCTTTGGGAATAAAAGATGTTACCTGAAGTCTTTCCAAATCTTACCTCATTTAACAGTATCTTTCCATATAATTATTAAAACTTCCACTGGAAGAATTTAAATTGCTTTGTACCTTCCACCTTTCCCAGGTTCCTCTGTCCCAGTAGATGCACGAAGTATTCACAAACTTGTTTTTGCAGCTTTCCTAACAAACCTGTTGTCTGCAGTTCCCGTAAGAAAGTAACTTCTATCTGCAAGGCCTTAAAATCACTTCATTTGTGAGGGGAATGCTCATCTCTTTTGTTGTGAAGATTTGCCCTGGATTAATTTACGCTCTTTCTAAACACCAATTTAAAGCGAAAATAAAAGACACTGGGTCTGAATTTCTCTTACACAGCAACTGGCCTGATACTTCAGTCTACTCCTAGGGCGCTTCCAACTTTTCAGGGGCACGGGGGCCCCTCTGACTCCGTAGTGACCCCTCCAAACCTCAGGCATTTGGAGCTGCCTCAATCCATATTTGTAGCCATGGGGCCCTCCAGCTCCCACGTGTGGTCTGCAAGCCCACGCAGGATGCCTGATGGCGGAATCGAGTCAGAGGGCACCCTCATGAGGGGCAAGCTTCTGGGCTCTGCAGGGTGCCCACCCTCAGCGCCCTCGCCGCCTTGACCCCCGAGGCTGGCTTGGAAGGTTGGTGTGCATCTGGCTTGCCCACAGTCACTGCAGCTGGATCTGACGTCCCTCCCACAGCAGGGGCCCCAGAGGTCTCGGCAGGCTCCCGACGACAGGGTGCGCCCTTGCTGCCTACCTGCGTGGTGGCTGTTGAGGTAGTGCTGCTTCTGGACCCCCACATCTGTTGGAACTGTACCCTGATTTCTGCAAAGGTTTCAATGATGACGGCGATGAAGACATTCTGAAAAAGAAGCAGGCAAGCGCATTTACCAAAGGCGGGAATCGGGAAGCCCCGCACAGGCCGGAACAAGCCCGGGTCTATGGGAGCAGCTGTTCCGCAGCTGCGGCCTCAGGTGCGTCCCCACCCACCTACCTTCACGAGCCAGGCCAGGAAGAAGATGAGGGTGATGAAGTAGAAGTAGGAGCGCCAGCGTGGGAAGCTGTCGATGGCCCTGTACATGAGAAAGACCCAGCCCTCCTGCGAGGCCGCCTCGTACACTGTGAATATGCTGGTGCCTGCGGAGAGCACACAGAGCAGGAGGCATTTTCAGCTGAGCAGTCACTGTTTATCCATGCTTATTTTCTCAATGACAAATTTCTTCTAAAGGAATAAAATCGCATGCAACATTTTATTGATCTCAGCGTTTGATAAAATTGTCTGTGGACAGCGCTGGTGTGATTAGCAGTACACTGACTTTACACCTTTAGCCCTCAAATGCGTGTAACCAAGTGGAAAAGGAAATGAGTGTTCATAGCCAGTTATGACGTTATACAAACGGATTTGGACACCTGGAATGTACATCACTTTGTAGTGCGATGTGGCTTCAATGAAAGGGTAAGAATGTGTCCAGTATAGACTGGCCACTTGCTGCGCAGTGTGCTGGAAGTGTCCTAGACTCCGGATATTAATGACGTGTAAACACCAGAAATGGGTCTGTGCCGGGTTCCGGGGTGTTCACTGAGTACCAAAAATGTCAGCACACGACAAGTGCGCTGGAGTCTCCAGGAAAACACTCTCGTTGAAAATATTTGGGATCGTGGAAAGAGAGAAAAGCAGATGCTATGCAGGCAGACTTGAACATATGGTGACAAGAACCTAAAATGTCATCCAGGGGGAGGTCAGTATTTAATCCTCAGAAAATTATGACAAGTGTTATAATTTCTGCTTCTTTTAGGGGGGAAAGCAAAACACATACAGATTAAGTAATTTGCCTAGGTCACCCAGATAGGGGAACTGGGATTAACTGGGTCGTTCTAGAACAAGGACCTAAGTGGTTAACTGTGATGACATCCCGTCAATACAGTTCTCCTGTGTTTTAATTTCCCCCTCAAAAAAAATGGAAAATAAGAACACAGAACTCATAGTGTTGTGAGCATTTAATGATTAAAATTTAGTAAGTGTTGGTATGTGGTGAGTACTTCAAGTATTTTAGGTATTATGAGTATGACAATAATAGTAAGAAAATGCTTAATATTATTTTGTGGGAAAATGTGTGAATAAATAGTGCCCAATTAAAGTTGTTTATAAAATCCATATGACATGCTGCTATTTACACAATGGATAAATATTGGCATCAATGTAAATTTAACTGCTGTCAATGGGTGAAGTTATAACAGACTAAACACCACAAGTATATATGTGCTAGTCTCACAGAATACCAACAGCAGATACCAGTAAGTGCTTATGTTTTAACTACACATTTAAAGTTTTGTTTTTATTTATTGATGCACACAAGAGCTGGGCTGTAGTCCAGAGGTCTGGGAGGTGGAGGATTCACCAGAGACAGAGTGGGGAGCAGAACAGGCCGAGGTGCTAAAACATATGGCTGAGCAGAGCAGGGTCCAGACAGGAGAGGTCTGACCTGCTGCGCCATGTGGGCCAGGGATCGAACTCATGCCGCAGCGGCTGCAGATAGCTTTCTAGCACTGCACCTTCATGGTGCCTCCAGGGAAGACCTCCAACTACACAAGTAAAATTAGAACATGCACACAGGTCAACATGCAAGGTAAGGGGTGCACGGAAGGTGGGTGATTCCAGCAGTGTCTCTGGACCTGTGCAGGCAAGGGGCATGTCCAGAGCCAAGACCCAAGCACGCAGAACAGTGGACAGTTCTGGCAGTTGGGTGGTGTGTGTGTGTGTGTGTGTGTGTGTGTGTGTGTGTGTGTTTATGGCAGTCTGGAGAAAGAAGGACGACATATTCCCGCTTGGGGAACACCTGGTAAGTGCGCATCTGTGCACAGCACATCACAGGACATGTGACTTCCTAAGCACCCACCCCGCACGTTAAGGATCCTGTTTTGTGCTTTGATGAGCCACTGCTGGACCAAACAACTGGAAAATGAGTTTAGTCTCCTGGTTCATTTCACACTTCAATGTTAAGGAAACTTCTGCCTGATGAGGCAGGTAGGTGGGAGGTGGAGGTAAAGGCAGACAGTGTCACATTTTACAGAAAAGGAAAGGAGAGGGCATTTGTGAACGAGCTCCCTGAGGCAAAAGAAATAGACTCTGAAATTGAAATCCTATCATCAAGTCAGGTCTTTCCTCTTTTTTCTTTACCTTGTTATTCTACTATTCTCTCTCTCTCTCTCTCTCTCTCTCTCTCTCTCTCTCTCTCTCTCTCATGGGGCTTTATTTTCTGTTATTTTCCTTAATTGGAATGAAGTTATTATTATTATTATTATTATTATTTTTCCTGAAGGACTGTGATGGCTAAGTTTAGTTTACATTCAAGAATTCATTCAAGACCGATGACTTTTAAGAAAAAGATCCAGAGAAGAACAGCACACACAATAAACAAATGCTAAGCAAAACCAGAAGTTGCTGTTCTGCTAATGACTTATGGGGCTAAAAATGTTCAACAGTTTTGCTTTTGTGCACGATGAAGGGCAATTTTAACATAAAGCAAGCAGTTTATGTCCCTTATTTTCTTCTAGTTATTTGAACTAAAACAGAAAAGAGGCTTGAGAAATGCATTAGGAATCACTATTACGGTTTAACAGCTTTACCAATCGACCATTTAAAGGCAAAATAAGAGATTGTCAACATGACATGAATGTGATAGGCATACTGAAAATTGTCCTTCCTCTCCTCATCTGGCTATTTCCTCTTTATTTTCTTTTTAGGGAAGGTGCTATTTAGCACTTAAAAATGATGTGTTTGGTGAGTAATCTTGAAGATTTTCCTCCATTTCCCCCAATTTGACACAGAAAGCGTGAAAGAAGCAGAAGCCCTGTTGAAGCTCCAAGCAGGGCTTGTTGATACAAAGAGATACTTGTGAACAGGTAACTAAAACTCTCCAGGGAGATGCTGACTCTTGGAAGACGTGTTGCCTGTACAGGTGTTCACCACATGGGTGGCAAGACTGGGGGTGAACAAGAGTTTCAGAAGCAAAGACAAATCAGACAACCTCTCGGCTTTCCCCCACTCCTGACCTAGCAAAATGCATGGCAAGAAAACCACTTCTCCACAGCTTATCCCGTCATTTCAATACTGAAGCTGATCCCCAGAGATCCCCCTGGCTTCCTCCTCCCTGAGGGAGGACCTGCAGCTTCTCAGACTCCTGCTCCCCTGGCCAGCTGCTTCTCCTCACTGAGTCCCCAGCTGTCCAGTCAGCTCTCCATCCTCAATGACCCCAATGCACCCCACGCTCGCTCCCATCACATCATGGCACACGCTGACGTCTGGTCCTTGTGTTTCCCTCACCAGGTGTGAGTCCTCCACACTATAAACTACCTCTCACTCCTGTGTCTGGCTCCTTCAAGCATCCTTGCTGAGTTCAACAAGGATCACAGAACTAAGGCAAAGGAAGGTCTTGTTCAGATACTTGCTTTTTCCTCAATTCTTCCTGAATGGGAATAGTGCGTAGTAAGTTGGAAATAAAAGGAAACTTTTTTATAGTTGACTTTACGTTTTGCTGATTTTTAATGTTCACTTAAAACACACACATAAACTTAAAAGCCCAGACAACCTATAAACAGGGAAGTTTTCTTGTTGTTTGGTCCAGACTAACAAATTTTGAGAAAATACTATATTGATTGCAACAAAATGTTTTTATCTAGAAACACGCCAGAGTATTTGTAGCCCACTTTAATCATGGAACTAAAACCCCCCACTGAAAATATTACATTTTTGCTAACTGAGTAATGACTGTGCATAGGACACAGTCTGTGACTAGACAATGATGCCACCGTCTCCTGAATATCCCTGGGCGGCAGCTGGCTACGTGCTACTTTCCTAGACCCCAAACTCTGAGCACAAACTCAAGCTGTATAAGGAACAAAAGCAGTGACACTCAGCCCGAAGTTCTTCCTGACCGGTCACTGGGTGAGAAGACCCACAGGTTTGCCATCGAAAATATGTATCTTACCACTTCCTACAGGCACCTGTCTTGAGCCATGGTAGGTTGTATTTTTTGATAGCTATGAACAAAATGATATTATTATCTGCTCTGATTGTCTTTAGGATAAACACCAGCTGCTCGGTGCTGCTGACTTTCCCAAGAAATACACCGAAGCCCACTGTCCACTGGGAATATCCCTCTCGGTTCTTGAATCCTAGGCTACATGATGCCATTCAGCTTTCAATTTTTTCCCCCAATGTGGAGTTGATAAGACAAAAATCTGGATCTGGGTGTGATGTTGCCCTTGGCTATGTGCAGCGTGGCAAAGATTTCGGGCAAACACACGTTGCTTTAGGATCTAGGCTTCTGGACTTCAGAGTCTTCAAAGATGAATAAAATGTTAAGTGGACTCTGTTATTAGTACAAAGAAGCATTTTTACATCTCTCCTTTCATCTAAAATTGTCTCACCTCCTAACTGTTCATTGTTGCTTTGCTTTGCTTTGCTTTATGACTAGCTAGCTCGCTTTGACACAAACTGGCCTGCTGGTGAAATCACTTTATCTAACCCCTTCTACCTCACTGCCCACAGCAAGCTTTGCAAAAAGATCAAAGGCCACCTGGGAATAAAGCATAAGCACATGTAATTTATTTTCTAAGTTACATTTTTCTAAGTAATAATGCTTGGTAGCTTAATTATTTCTTCAGACACAGGTAAAAAAAATTCTAAATTTCCACGCTCTAGCAAAGAGAGGTGAAAGCTTCAGCTATCGTATTCACAAATGGGGGGAAGTGTTGACAAGGTCCATGCTGGCACTGGCAGGAAGCTCAGGCGTTAAAGCTGACCTGCTCCAGGATGCTGTGCGCACCCCTGCCCACGGGGTAGGCCCTTCCTGTGTGGGTTGGGAATGAGGGTGGGGAAGGAGGTGGGGCCGATACCTGTTACTGCTCTGCCTTTGAAGAGCAGTAGCCAAAGAACTTCAGGGAAGTTTATTTTTCATTTGGTGATTAAAAAAACAAAATCCATTTTAGCTGCCTTCTCCCTACTGTCCACACTGTCTACTACTTCCTATCCATGTGGTCCTGGACCGGCCAGCTGACCATCCCGGACTTTGGCTTCCTCCCGATCGATTAGGGAGATGGTGCTGCTTACTTAGCATTTTAAAAAAAAAAATTAT